AAGATGCACAACTAAATTAGAAGATATCTTGACATACGCAGAATTCAAGGAGAAAATATTGGGAAGACATAAAGAACTATTACATCCAGGAATAGAAAAAACAATTAATTGGTTCAAAGAAAAATACTATTTCCCTGACCATCAAAACTTAATCCAGAACATTATTAACGAGTGCGAAATTTGTAACATATCTAAAACAGAACATAGAAACACAAAACTTTCTTTCGAAACCACCCCAGAAATACAAAACATCCGTGAAAAATACGTAATGGATTTTTATATAGTAGGTAATCAACAGTTTTTATCTTGTATTGACGTGTATTCAAAATTTGCTTCATTAGTAGAAATAACAAGTAAAGATTGGCTAGAAGCGAAAAGAGCAATAATGAAAGTATTTAATGAAATGGGAAAACCACAAGAAATTAAAGTAGATAAGGATTCAGCATTTATGTGTGTAGCTTTACACAACTGGTTAGATTCGGAAGGAGTAAAAATTCAGGTAACAACAAGTAAGAATGGTATATCAGACGTAGAAAGATTCCATAAGACAGTTAATGAAAAACTACGAATCATTGGAAGTGAGACAAATATTGAAAATAGGTACACTAAATTCGAGTTAATACTTTACATTTATAATCACAAAACAAAACATAATGCTACAAACAGAGTACCAGCCGATATTTTCATGTATGCAGGAACACCCGATTATGATACACAGGATAAGAAAATCAATAAGATTAATCAACTAAATAAAGACAGACATGATTATGAAATAGATACCAAATATAAGCAATCTCCGTTAGTAAAATCAAAAACAACTAACCCGTTTAAAAAGACAGGAAATATCAGACAAGTTGATGAGAAACATTTTGAAGAAACCAATAGAGGCAGGAAAATTACTCATTATAAATCTAAATTTAAAAGAAAAAAATAATTAATAAAAGTAAATATAACAATTCCAGACAAACAGAAGAAACCTAATGGATTCAACAACCTCTATAAAATTATTATGTTTATGATTATATTAACTACTTCAATTCAAATGACGAATGGACAAAACATCGAAATAAATCCGATAAAAGCCCAAAATGGATACTTAATGTTTAAAACAGGCACGATAGACATTCCAACTAATTATGAGAATCACTTTATAAGCATAAATATTACGAAAACAGAACAAATCTTTGAGAAATTAGTAGAAGAAGCATGTGAATTCAAAGGAACATTGCAGATAGAATATTTAGTGGGAAAACTTCAACGAGAAATTAATGGTATTAAAATCGCAAAACGTAGCAAAAGAGGGTTGCTAAACATTGTAGGAACAACTTACAAATACTTATTTGGAACATTGGATCAGGATGATAAAGAAGAGTTAGAACAGAAAATCGATACACTAACTGAGAATAGTATTCAAAGTAATGATTTGAATAAGATTATTGATGTCGTAAACAATGGATTAGATTTAATCAACAAATTTAGAGACGAGGAAGAGAAAGAGCAACAGGCTAACGTCCTAATATTTAATCTACAACACTTCACAGAATACATAGAAGACATTGAGTTAGGAATGCAACTAACTAGACTTGGAATTTTTAACCCCAAACTTTTAAAACATGATAATTTAAAACAGGTGAATTCCGAGAAATTGCTTAAAATCAAAACTTCCACTTGGCTCAAAACTAATACAAATGAAATTCTGATTATGTCCCACATTCCTACCGAAATATTTAAAGCCCCTGTTTTCGAAATTATTCCCTACCCAGATGAAGACAATAACATACTAACAGAGAACACGATCAATAAGTATTTCCTACATGATGAAAAAGTATTTGATAAAGAAACAGGAAAGATTGTATTTGACGAATGTATAAATGGAATAATTAAACAAGAAAATACAGGTTGTAAATACACTAAAACTCATAAAAATTTTCAAATTGATTATATTGAACCAAATATTTTATTGACATGGAACATCCCTAAAACATTTTTAAATCAAAATTGCATTAATAAAGAAATTTCTATAAGCGGAAGTAACCTTATCAAAATCCTTAATTGTTCGGTTCAATTGAATGAATTTATCCTTTCAAATACAATGGCAGATTACACCCAAACAGTTTATGTCAGTAATAATGTAACAAAACTAGAACCGCTAGCATATATCCAAACAAAAGAAATTATAAAAACACACACAAAATATTATAATGTATTCCAAATAATAACAACAACTACTTTTATAATTACAATTATAAGTTTATCTTTGTATCTATTCTATAAGTTCAAAAGTTTACCGAAGAAACTAATTGTAAAATATGTAAAACCAAAGGAAGAAACACCAAAGATTCCAGAAATTGTAAACGATCAACCTAATATGAACATAGGAGAGCATCTCATGTTATACCCAAATCTATCGACCTGAGGACAGGCCAAATTCAAAGGTTGGGGGAGTGACATATCCATAGCATTATACATAAACTATGTAAATGTCCACACACCCACACACTCACACATACACATTAAGTATTTGTCAGAACTTACCCTTGAGACTTAGATTCAAATAGGCAAATGCACCGAACATGATCCTAGCCCAAATCAGACCTAAACATAATTGAGGATGGAAAAGTACTTATAAACAAAAATCCTCAGACTAAACAGACCGAGGGAAACTGCATTCAGCACGTTCCCATAATTCAGATCCCCAAACCCAATCGTAAAACTCAAATTTCGGGACCAAAGACAAAAACAAATTCAAAAGCAAGAATCCAAAGTCCAATCGGGAAAGTTCTCAGCCTAAACAATAAAACACACTCAATTAGAATAAACACACTCAAGTAAAGCTCGAAAGCTCCAAAACCGAGGTTTGATCGTAAAAGAAGTCAGAGTTAGGAGTGAAGTTCAGTTTAAGATCTACAAGTAGTAGGTTGGTGTTCTTCAAATAAAGAATATTTGTAACCAGTTGGACATAAGAAAAATAAAGATAATTTTTTTTTATTGAAAACTTATGGTGCAAACATTTAATTATATATATAAAAGAACAACGTGTTTTATGTTACAACACTTATAAATCAAGAACGGAAGAACAGATTTGAGTGAAAATTGGTAGGGAGGTAGCTTAGAGCCAGGAGAAGGACATAGGATACTTTTTGTCCCGTTCGACAGCGTTCCTCCCTGGCCCATACTTTTTTATTTAGGCAGACAGCTAAGAAGAAAATGTCAAATGTCAAAATGTCAGTTACAAACGAAGTCAAATTCATAGTCAGGCTCTCAAATTTAACAACGAACCAAAAAGATTGTGTTGCGCTTCCGGGAAAGTGAAATTGCCTCAACTTGAAGCACCACTAGAGCCTCTGCACTCTCTATTGATATTTGTAAGAAATCAATATTAAAACTATTTCTATTAAATAAATAATTAACAAGTGGATTGAAGTGAAGTGAAGTTTAATTAATAATGCCGCGACCAAGACGATCGAATCTTTCCCGACAAAGCCGTAATGCAAGAAGAATACAAAATACTGCATATGAAAGGACTGAAGAAGAACGAGAAATTGCACGTGAACAGAGCCGCAATAGTAAGGCTCGACTTCGTGCTTCTCAAATAGATTTTAATTTGCGACGAAAAATTTTAGCTGATTTGAATCGAGCTGCGTTTCGATACGATTGCAGCAATGATTACAGCTTGCATCCTAGCGTTTGCATTGGGCAAATGGACGTTGTTTGCGAGTATTGTGGTGCATTAAAGTTTTCCGGAGAAACGCCTGGATTATGCTGCGTTAATGATAAAGTGAAGTTGCCAGTAATTCCAAGATCTGCGGCTGCCGACGAAATAAACGCTTGCCTCAAATCGTCAAATCTATGGCGCTATGTGAAGAAACTGCAGCTGATAACAAACATGAGAGTTACATTGCTTAATGATACATCTGCTGAAGATTTCTCGGAGCAATTTCTGACTATCGGTAATGGTCAAGTACCTGTCGATGAATCGAGCGGATTAATATCATTTCCAAATAATTTTTGTAATTTTGTCTCATCAAAAGACGAACTTATCAACAATGTATTTCCAAATATTATTTCTAACTACAAAAATAATGAATGGTTGAGTGAGCGAGCAATTTTAGCGGCTAAGAATAAAGATGTAGATGACCTGAACTACATAATTCAAAATAAGATCATTGGAACAATGCATTCATTCAAATCTATTGACTGCGTCACAAATGAAGATGAAGCCACCAACTATCCAATTGAATTTTTAAACTCTTTGGACGTGCCTGGCTTACCACCGCACAATTTACGCCTAAAGGTTGGCTCCGTAGTAATCATGCTTCGAAACATAAACCAACCAAAACTGCAACGGTACGCGTTTGGTGGTTAGTAAATTGATGAACAATGTAATTTACGCTACGATAATGATAGGAAAATTCAAAGGTGAGGAAGTTCTAATTCCGAGGATCCCGATGATCCCAACCGATATGCCGTTTGAATTTAAAAGACTTCAATTTCCGATACGTCTTGCATTTGCCATGACAATCAACAAATCACAAGCCCAATCCTTAAAAGTTTGTGGTTTAAATCTAGAACATTCATGTTTTTCCCATGGTCAATTATACGTGGCATGTTCACGGGTCGGAAAACCATCTGCGTTGTTTGTTTTTGCGCCTGATAATAAAAAAAAAAATGTCGTGTATCACAAGGTGCTTGAGTGAAGAGCAACCTATATACTAAAATACAGAAATAATAATGAATGATTAAGGAGGAGAAACAAAGAATATTGTATACCCACAAGTATTACAGAATTTAATTAATTTGAAAATTATTCTTTTTTGTTTGACTTATTTTTTATGCGTGCAACAACAATATGCCACAGCGAAACGTGGCAGGGTACTGCTAGTACTTTTTTTAAAAAAGAAACGACAATTTTCTAAAAAAAACATTTGATTTTTATGTTTTTATGTCTTAAAAAATAGCATTACCTTTTCTTGCCGAGCTTTAAAGGGTATTATAGTATATTTCGCAGTGCCCTGGCTTCTATTCCTGAATCCGGGAGCCTGGACTCCTGCTGGTGTCCCCTTTATTTTGCTCCAGGCTCTGGGTCGTTCGCCTTGTGCGCCCGTATTATAATTGATACACTTTGTCTATCGCCCTAGAGTCACCTCATCCTCGTGTGGCCCTCGTCCTTGGTGCTTGCGGTTTTCGGACCAGGCCTGAAACGAGAGGTAACGAAAAATCCGAGTAAATAAGCTGAAACCAAGTAAAAGTTGCGACCAAAGGCGGTTTGCCTACGACATTCAGGCGGTCAACAGTTTTTGTGGTCGGAAGGAGGCAAAGGACTAGCAGCTAGGACCAAGGGTGGCAGGACAAAACAGAAACTAAAAACAAAAAGTGTACAGTATTGTGCAGCATTTGTCATCATTAGTTGGGGTTCATAGTCAAAGGATATTTAAAAGGATTCTGATGTTGCTATTTGCCAAAGGAAGTTGTATGAAAAAGTAATAAAATATTAATAGATACAGAAAGGATATATTTTTAGCTTTAATAATTTTCAATTATTTTCCGACCCTTTGTCATTCAATTTCCAAGCCACCTTGCATGTCAACATTTCTCTTGTCAACAAAGCTTCTAGCGTTTCAGCCAATTAAAGCCCTGTCATGGACTATGGCCAACAACCCTTCTTTAAACTGCCCTCAGAAAAAAGAATCTTAACACGAAACCCTAATTGCCGCACCCTCTAACCGTAATATTCCACCTCAATCAATTAAAGCCGTTTTCATAGAAAGCCAGTCAACCCCCGAAAAAAAATTCCCAGTCATATGTTGGCCAGCTAAGAAAAGCCGGCTGCAAAGACAGAAAGCGGGCCAACACACAAAAACGTAAACAAACCGGCAAAATGTAAAGCCACCACCGGACCAAAAAAAAAAAGGCCAAAAAGGAAAAACTGAAAAGTAAGAAACGGAAAACTCACCATAACGCGATATAAAGAGAGTTTTGAAAAGAGCGCACGAGAGCCAGGGAAATTCTGGGACCCGAGGTGGAAAATGCATAATTCACGAGACGAGAATTTCCCGGCTCGGGTTGTTGGGGAAACGACTCGGTTGGCATTTAAGCCAGAACACCGATGGCTCAAAGGAAGCTCCAGGCGAACCAGTTGACGGCGAGCCGTGCGAGCAGACGGTCGTGTTTTAGTCGCAGTCTCCCCTCAATAATAAAATATTAAATCATAAATCAAAAAGGAAATCGAACCCCAAAACATCCCAACAGCACAAGTTCTAAAGTGTCGAGTGCTTAAAAAAAAGTAATATATAAAAATTAAATGTAAAAACTGTGCAAGTGCAAAGAAAAAAAAAAGAATAAAATAAAGGATACAACATCGCGTTATCCTGACAAACACATAACGAACGGTTGTCTTGTTTACAAGTTGCGGTCAGGACTTTTTTCGGATTTTCCAACAGGGGGTCCTTGCCTGCCTTAGTGTTAGTTAGTTTCTGTGGTTTCCCCCCCACCTCCCCTGTGTGTTTATTTGTGTTGTGCTGCTGCAAAGTGGAAGACGCCATGGCAACACATTGCTAATCGATGACGTGACCAAAAAAAAATACAAACCAACAATAAAAACCCCCCACAAACAAGCCAGCAAACAAAAAAGGAGACTAAACCAAACCAAAACACAAAAAAAAAAAAAAAAAAACAAAGAAAAAGGAGCAAACACCCTTTACACTCGGGATAACACAAGGATAATGACCATAAACTGATTTGGTATGTGGCAATCAACATTTTGACAGCCGAGTCCGAGAACCCCAAAATGGAAAAAATGTTCCGAACATTTTTGGCTAACTGATAAGTTAGGCCAACAGCTAACGAAATTCATTTTTGATAGCCTTCCCCTCCGCTCATTTAAGCTTCTTAACTGTTTTTGGCACAAACTCTTGCTTTTGCGGTTGAATGCCACATTTCAAGATCGGCAAAGATATCCCCAAGTTGGCCCGTAAGTTGACATTCCACAAACAAGCCCGAGAGCAACTTTGGCTGGCTGGAGTGGAGTGTTGCCGGAGACTTGCCAAAAGGATAAAATTTATTTTAGCCCTCCTCTATGGCTCTTAACCCAATTAGTGGTCCTTACATTAAAATGTTTACTTCGAAAACTAGTATAACTTTCTGCGGCAATTCAACAAATATTTGGCATTCAACTTCATTTTAAGAATGTCAACAAAAAAACATATTTTTGTTGAATAAAATTAATTAAATAATGAAAAAGAAAGTTTTATTTATTTGTCAAGTTTTTATGGCTTTAAAGTTATTTGATTTCTGTATCTGTCGAGACAGTGTTGGCTATAATAATTAGCTCAAAAAGCTTGCCAAAGGATATCTCTAATGCCTCCATAAATAAATATTTATTCAAGACTAGAAATATCAAATCAATTTAATTTTATTTTTGGCCAAGCAAAATGGTTTAATTGATTTGAACGAAGGCCATTTAATAAAAAAAAAAATAGTCCTTTCAGTAATACGATTCAAAAAAGAATCACAACAAACATCCTTTAGAGAAACTGCCGAAAACCTATCAGTATAAGCAATCAAATAAAAAATGTTATATAAAGGGAAAGCCATCCAGAATTTCTGTAGTACTCTGGACAAATGCAAACAAACTTTATCTCTATTTTGTTTGCCAACTTGAATTAAACACGCCTCCGACACACACGACAAAAGAGAAAGCCGGGCAAATTCGCAAAGAGTTGAGAGAAATGAAATTACAACTTGCATCCTTTTTCTGATTTCGTTTTTTTTACTTTTACGTACTCTTTTTTCGACAAGGAACTTGGCCAGGACCTTCAAAAGGAATTGTTTGGCCAAAGCAAACACAGAATGGGCACTGAACAAGAAGGCAAGAAAGAAATACTTGAAATCAAGTTGAGTTTACGCATTTCTAGTGCATTCAAGAAAGGATAAAAAAGGATAAGCAAATGTGCACTTTAGAAAAGAGGTGGTAGGTCCTTTTTAATTCACTTCACTGAACTAGTCTCTCAAAAATCAGTCTGCTTCAAATCTTAAGTCTCTTTTTTTATCCTTGCATTTATTTGGAAACACTCTTCCGAGAAACAAGTGAATAATTAAGAGTGAAAAGATAAAATACTGCCAGGACCTGCCAGTAAGTAAATTTAATGGCAACAACTGACAGTAAAAATTGCTTAAAAAATGTAACAGCCTTCCCCTTTTTATTTCTTGGCCCCTTGCCTTCTTTTATTTATTTTTTTCTTTCCGGATTGTATTTTCCCTTTGTCTTTTTTTTGTTCTGTTTGAGCCGCAGCTGGTGACGCAGGATATAAATTACAAACGAGAACAATAAGAGCAACAACAAGTGCTCAGTGTATTAATAACAAAACGGTGACAATAAAGACAAAGTTGAAAATCCTGAAGGGCCGAGACCAAATGAAATAAGCCGGGTTGACAACTTTCAAAAGCGGCTTCGTTTGCCCCTCAAAGGACGAAACTGAAAATTTCTCTGCAATGCGTGAATTAATTCAGGAGACACGCGGCTCCTACATGCACGCGATGTGAGTTTTTGTGGCGCAAAAAAATCAGGAGCGTCCTGACAAGGGGGTTGCTTAAATATAGTCATATTTTAATACTTAGGAGGCCAGTGAAGCTTAATAAATGAATGCATGAAGTTTTATATGTTTATATGTGAGTAGTTTGTTTGGAAACTCACAAATCTTTAACCGTTTTTTTTTTTAAATATACCAAGTGGAATTAATACAGGTTTTTTAAATTAAATTACTAAAGCTGAAACTGTTATGTTGTTTTTTAAATTAAATTACTAAAGCTGACACTGTTTATTTTTTTTAAATGGACCAAAATATCAAATTAATCTCCTCTTTTGGTTCAGCTCCTGCCTGTCCCTGGCTTTCCTGTTTGCTCCGTATGCTGTAGCAGCCTCACCTCTAGATTTTCTTCTTACATCCTGCCACCAGCCGCCCTCTGGGAGGACCTCCTCCCTGCCCCGAACAGCTTCATAAAGCCAAGTGTTTGCGCTTTGAAGTTTCCGCTTCCGCAGTGAACAGCGATTGTTGTTGTAGCTGTTACTGCTTGTTGTGTTTGTCGTTGTTGTTGCTGTTGCGGCACAACATAAAACATACTTATTTTGAAGTTGGTGGCACATCCGAAACACACACACACACAGAGAACACGTATACTCGCACAAGCGTATCCTGACACTCGTGGCAAAAGGATGCCAATGCAGAGCACTTGGCAAGCTTCTCTGTTTTTCTTGGTCTGCATTGTTGTTCACCTTGTGGCGCCAACGCCAACGCCAACGCCACTGCCACTGCCGTTTAAATCACACGAAAAATTTAAATTACAAATTTATTCTCTGTTTTCAACGCTTACCCCTCCTTTCTCGAGGATCTAATTAAGTTTGTGGCTTGTTTGGGGAAAGTGCTGTGTAAACATTGAGTTGACTTCCTGGGCGGAAATTCAAAGAGTTTGTTAATCATAATTATTTGATCTTCAAAATGGATGCTTAACTTGCAGGTATTGTTCCAAACAAATTAAAGCCAAAAGATTGAGACCACTCGAGTTTACTTTAATACACTTTAAGCCTGGTTTATGGAATTTTATTACTCACATTTTATGAGGCAAATACAAATGCCAGAATGTGACAAAGTGTGTGGGTGGATCGAGTGGGAGTCAAAGGAAACTCGATATATGGAAAATAAAAATAAAAGAAAAACCAAACACTTTCACTTTGTGCCCATTTAAGGTCGTGTGTGCGGTGTACGTGCAATAAATAAGCGACTTATTTATGCCCCTCACACAGACACGGCAATAACAAAGTATTTGGGTTAGTAATGCCATTTACGAGCCAAAGGCAAAGGCAAACATAAAGCGAAAATGGAAAAAAGCTCTGTTTACGTTTATGTTCATGCCGGTAAATCCGTCTTCAATGTAAGCTCTGCTAAATCTTGAACAAAACAAAACCAAACAAAAAAAAAAATGAAATTTAAAAGTGAGAGAGCAGAGATAGAACCCAGGCCACAAACGAACAAGCGAACGAAGGAACGTTCGTCTATTTAACTAACTGTGCATAATTCATAATTTAATTAAGAACTCAGCGAAATGAAAAAAGTTACACGAGGGACATTGACGTGCTCTGGCCCTCTACACCCTCACCGTCCTCCCTCCTCCCTGTCTCCATTTTATCCGGATTTTCCAACCCGGATTTCCAACGCATGCATTAGTATGAGTGTGGAAGCCCTGCCGCAGCTGCTTTCAAGTGTGTGGCAGAGGCGGAGGTGGTGGGCATATGGCTGCAAATGGCGAGAGGGGCAACTGCCACCGCTAGCTACATAGTCCGGGCCATAAGTCAAGGAAATCTTCGCAAACGAATGACAAAGATTCGCCGTAGTTGAGGGAATCCCCGCCCATCCGGAATAACAATCCGGACAGAGGTGCGAAAAGCTGTTTGGTAAGCCCAAAGATGCATTTCATTCAATGAGTTTCCCAGTGGAAATGAGGGTCAGGGGAAATCATAGGAATCTTGGCTACTCAGCGGGAGTCCTTCAAGGATTCTACTTTAGCAGAGGTGTCAAAAAGTTCTCCAAATGTTTATAGATATTAATTAAATTCTAGAAGAATATTAAAGATATACTCTCTCATTAAATCCTCATCATAAATTTCTAGTCGTTCTATTACAAAATAAATAATAAATGGAATGCAAAAAATTTGAATTAATTACTCTTTGAAAATATAACCTATATTAAACAAACAAATCTATTCAGCTATAAAGAACTATAAGTATATTTAGCCCAAAGCCTATTACCATTTTTTATAGAAAACCTCGTTTAATTATTTATTATAGCATACTTTTTAGGATATATTGCATTTTGTGGAATTTTCGCAAAAATGATGGCTTTGCATTTTTAATATCAATTTTGTTTAAACAAATAAATCACCGCACACTTCCGCCGCAAAGTTGTCCATTTGATTAATATGCCTTTCACATACGAAATCAAAGCAAATCGCAATTTCACAGAAGAATTGCCAGCATATTCGAGTGACATTCCGCGGCAACCGCAAAGGGTTGTCCAGGACATTGTTCGATTGTTCTGGCGACAGAAAGGGGGGAACCCCAACCCATTCGCCATTCGCCGCCCATCTTGTAACGACATTCCCCTAGCAAGCCGCACAAAAGACGTCCCTGTGACTTTGTCAGCTCTTCATTTGGTCAACTGCTGACAACGGCACCACAGCCACCATTTAAACCACCACTGGCACTCCCACCATCCGCAGCATCATCAACATGAACGTGAATGCCACCCTCTTGTCACCAGGACGCCTCCCGTCCACCCCCTTCTGCGAGCCGTCCATGGTTAATTAACTTGCCTCGCATCGGGCCCGGACGCTGGAACGCCAGAGTCCGGAGTTCGCCTGAAAAATTCCTTTGAGCGGGTTTCCATTTTATGCTCCCCTCGCTGCAACAAAGTTAAACGCTTTGACTTTCCTTTGGCGAAAGAAAAGGGTTTTCCGTCCAACTAATTTAATTGCTGCGACGTGATATAGACGCTTAATCAGCATCGCAGGACGACGACAAAAAAAAAAATTAATTGTGGACTCATTGTGAGACGTTATTGATTGAACGTCAAAGGAAACTTTCAAGTAGCCAATAATTACTTTTCTGAACAGAAGGAAATAGAAGGTAGTAGAGGTGTTCTCGCAAGAGATGTAACTGACTTTCCTTAATATATTGATATTTTCCTTGA